CACACACACACACACACACACATATACATATATATATATATATATGTATGTATATATATGACATGAGAACAGAAAGAACAATTGTATAAGACTAAAGAAAAAAAAGTATTAAGGAGGATGATAAACAGTTTCATTAATTCAGTCTTTTAAGAATTTAGCCTATCAGAGACTCGCTAAATAAAAAAGACACCAAGGCATCTTTTTTTTTTTAAGCTGTAGTAATTAATAAATAAAAGTTTCGTTTATAGTTTATTTGTGTTTTTTTATGTTTATTTAATAAAATGTTTAATTCCTGCCCTATTTGTTCTTGTTTGTTGTCTATATTGGGTTGTGTAATTGTTTCAGCGACGCTACTATCTCCTCCAAAACAACAGATGGCGTAGTACTCGAACAGTATGTGACGCACACAAGTCGAACAAGACGCAGCGTCGCATTGAGTGTTCTGCGCATGCTCGCAGCCACGTTCACTCACTCATTCACTTTGCTTAACAATCAGGCGTCATGGCGGATGTACTGGATCTTCATGAAGCGGGAGGTGAAGACTTTCCTATGGACGAGGATGGCGACGGTACAGTGGCTATTTATATTCGAACGGTGCACAGACAGTTTATTTATTTCATATAGCCAGAATTCACCTGTTTATTAGTGTTGAATGTTTGAAATGCTCGTGTTTATATCCGGCGGGCCTAGTCCGATTAGCGCGCCTGCTAATAGTTAGCTAATTCAAAAGAATCGCACGCTGTTGTGATAATGCTTTATTTTGTTGCCGTGCTTTGGTTTTAGCTTTAACACGTGTTACTTTTTTCATGTTTATCATGGCCAAAAATAATTAAATAAATATTGTGTACTCGGTAAGCACGCAGGCTCATTGCATTTGTGTTTTAGTGCTTTCTTTTTAAAGACAGTATTCCATTGCGGCCTTCTGTTTTAGTTAAATTTTATGTTCTCATAAAGTTGTCTTTAAAAACGTTCATTCAGTACTTTCGAATGCATCGTAAGAGTGATTATTTTCCTTTGTTGACTTTACAGAGAGCATTCACAAGTTAAAAGAGAAAGCCAAGAAGAGGAAGGGTCGTGGGTTTGGATCAGGTAAGTGACCTCATCTCCAATCTTGTGTTTTGGCGTCTTAATAAATCATGTGCTAATGTTGTTCGCTGCTTTATTTAACAGAGGAGGGAGCGAGATCTAGAGTCAGAGAGGACTATGACACAGTAGAACAGGATGGAGATGAGCCTGGGCCACAGAGATGTGAGTGTACCTAGCAGAACAACATAGCATCTGAACTCTCTCACTTGACCTCTGTGACCTCATGATGATAGAACTCAAGTGGCTGCGATTTTTTTTTAAAACATTTTTGGTGTCATTACAGCTGTTGAAGGATGGATTCTGTTTGTGACTGGTGTGCATGAAGAGGCGACGGAAGAGGATGTCCACGATAAGTTTGCAGAGTATGGAGAGATTAAAAACGTGCATTTAAATTTGGACAGAAGAACCGGTTACCTTAAGGTTGGTTGGCAGTTTTCCCCCTCTTGTTCAGTGAAATGTCTGTAAATGAAAATTTGATATGTTGCACGTTTGCATAATTTATTTGTTTTATTTTTTTGAAGGACCACTTGTCTGTATATGACAACAAATATGCAGTAGTCAACATTTGCAGTGGATCAAACACGATAAGTTTGCAGAGTATGGAGAGATTAAAAACGTGCATTTAAATTTGGACAGAAGAACCGGTTACCTTAAGGTTGGTTGGCAGTTTTCCCCCTCTTGTTCAGTGAAATGTCTGTAAATGAAAATTTGATATGTTGCACGTTTGCATAATTTGTTTTATTTTTTTGAAGGACCACTTGTCTGTATATGACAACAAAAATGCAGTAGTCAACATTTGAAGTGGATCAAAACCTTTCGTCAAAGTTGTCCTTAAACCAAAAACCAAAATGAGTTCTTGCCTTAGGACAGCATATAATCACTCTTATGTGAGCTTATGAATATTTTATACCTGAATGTGCTTGAGTTTGTCCACCAGATGGCAGTGTTTTAAACAGAACACAATCTCAAAAAGACCATGAGTTTAGTTGGTGATTCATATAATATTGATGCTTTCTTGTTTTTAAGCATTCCCGTAATTAACTTAGACAATGTTTATAATGTTATTTTCCATAACGAGAGATTTCCTTTAGGTTAAGGTATGGTTGTAGCAGCTTTGCATTTGACTAGGGTTGCGCATCTTTAATATTTTGACTATTTAAGCACTTTAAATAAACTTGAGCAGTGGGGAGGGAGAGAAAGCAACTTTAGTTTGTGCTATTTTATTATGTGCACATGTCAGATGAAGTTCTTTGGTCAATGTGTCTAATATGGAGTGTTATGTTAAAAATAGTTAAACTAAGAAAAACTCAACCCGTGTGTCCTTGTCCATTCAGTTGTGCTCTGTTTAGCTGTTTTTGCTCATGTGAGTGTGAATTTGAACACTCAGACCTTGTGTTTTGTGCACATCTAATTTCTGTCATCAAACAGTCTGTGTGCATTGAATTTATTTAATACACGAGTTTCACAATTTGAGTTGAATTACTGAAATAAATGAACTTTTCCACGACATTCTAATTTATTGAGATGCACCTGTATATCATTGCAATTGAGAACCCCACTTTGGTAAATCATCAAATGTGTCCATGTTTTTGCCATCAGGTTTGTTTTCTCGGGTCAAGCTGACACATGTTAATGCATAAAATGTTTAGTTTGGCCTGTTTCAAGACAAAGAATGTGAAAGACAGTTCTGGAACCAGGCAACCCAATGGAAAAACATCTCTTTTGTGGGTGTCGTGTTGTTTGAAACATTATCTTGGCAAATAATGAGACTTGTTTTTCATAGGGCTATGCACTGGTGGAGTACGAGACCTACAAAGAAGCCCAGGCAGCAATGGAAGGGCTGAATGGCCAGGATCTTATGGGGCAACCAATCAGCGTTGACTGGTGCTTTGTAAGAGGACCCCCTAAGAGCAAGAGGAGGTGAGTCAGTTTCTGATCCTGTTAAACTGCATTTATATACTCGGACCGTTTCACTCGCTCACACAAACTTCATTTGTAGTGGATATCTGTCTTCTATTGAATTTGTTAATGATGCAGGCCGTAATACAACATGACTAATGGACCGTTGTGCTTTCCTCTAGGGGTGGAAGAAGACGCAGCAGGAGCCCTGACAGGCGGCGACGTTGATTTTCCAAGTTTTTGACTCCAGTGTCTATTTCCCAGCCAGGGTGGCATTGTTTTTCAAGATAGTTCGGAGTCAGATTGGAGTGGCGTGTATCTCTTTAAATTGAGGATTTTAGTGTTTTTGAGGAGGGGGGGTGTTGTCTTAATTGTTAGTTATTCGCAACTTTCTGTAGGTCTTTTGTTAAAAAATGACAGAGGCTGCTGGAAGCGTACATGTTGAAGCTGTCGGTATTTCCACCACAGTTTTATTTACTTCTTTTTTTTTTTTTTTTTTTTTTGTACAAAGTGGCGGTACACTTTAAAATGTATGTAGACATGTAATTCACTCATTGAAACCTGTTATGAGTAGTGATTTGTGTATTTCCAATAAATTAATTTGGTTTGAGATCTTTGTTGGTTCCATGCTTTGCATTTGAGCCCGTTC